TCCCCCATCTCCTGGCTGCTGTCTCTGAGGCAGATAGGTGACAAGCCTCCCCTTGCTGGACTGACCCAACAGGAAGGTATGGCTGGGTGAAGAGGGGCGAACAGGAGGCGACCACCCAAGCCTCCTTGGGAGGGGCAGTGGCTGGGGGGCCCTTGGGGGCCACCCTGAGCAGCTCATAAATCTCAAAGACCTCCAAGAGGCAGGAAGCCTCCCTACAAAAATGTCTTGCATGCTCAGGTCTTGCTGGAGAGTGGAGAATAATTGCTAGCCAGCCCCTTGTGCCTGTCTAGCAGGTGGCTTGTCCAGTGCTGTCTTTACCTCCACCTGCCAGCTCCCAGCAGGCTATGAATAAGGTATCTTAGAACCCAGCCCAGCTTCCATAGCGAAGGAGGCTTGATCTGAGTGAGCAGTCCCCCAAAACCCATGTGCTTCAGTCAGCTCTGAGCTTCTAGATTCTCAGAAGGCAAGAGCTCACAGGCCTGGGTCAGGGCTGGTGCTGGGGTAGGGAGGGAGGGAGGAAGGTTTTGAGTGAGCTGGGGCTCTGGGCAGAGGACAAGACAGTTGTGGAATGCAGGTCCCTCTGTACAGGCCCCAAGCACACGATGTGGCCTGGGACTTGCACTCTTCTGGGTGTTTCTAATGATGCTGGGTTTGGGAAGGCGGCTGGATGCTTGCTCCCTAGGGACAGGCTGCCACTCACCATGTAGCCAGAAATGCCACTGGCAGCAGGTTGTATTCTGCCTTTTGTACCCAAGAGGAAAGTGGCCGCAGACATCCAGCTGACTTGTGCCTTGCCTCCCAGGTCTTGGTTGGCCAAAACAAGCACAGGTGGTCCTTGCCAAGTCTGGTCCCAGGGGCCCAGCTCCCTCTCGCCCCTGGAGCCACAGCTAAGCCTCAGCCAAGGGATGGAGTCAATTGAGTCTTCCTTCCGCAGGCTGGAGTCAGGGCCAGTGATGACAGTCCTGGTGGTCAGGAACTGTTCTAGCATGGAAGTCTTTCCTTTGAACCCTAAAATTGTTTAGAGGGGCTACTGATACCGCACCTACTTGTAGGGCACTGGATTCTGTCGTTAGGAAATGGTTAAGACAGTTCCTGGATTCCAAGGTTGGGAGACTGGCAGGTCTGGGACAGTGGCATTCTTCAGGTGCATTCTCCCTGGCCCCCTCCTTCGCTCCTACGTGTGGTATAGTGCCTTGACGTGGTGCACACCAGCCACTGGCAGCAGTGGCCAGGCCCATGCCTCCTTTTGTGGGGCATGTCACTTGTCACTGGTGCTAGGGCCTGCGAGTGTCTGCCTCACCAACTCTCCTGTCTCCAGACATGGGCCACTCAGGCTCATGGCTGGGACCCTTTTGGCATGCCTTCCATCCTGTGCTGTGGTTCATGGTCACTTTGCTGTGGGTCAGCTCATCTCCTTCTCCCAATGGGGAGGCTCATGGTTATGGCATGGGAGGAAGGAAGATATCTGACTGTCCTGGGCTGTCATTTGTGTGGGTGAGTCTTAGTCTATTCCAGAAGGCTGCTATAACAAAGTACATTAGACTGGGTAACTTAGGACTACAGAAATACATTGCTTGCAGTTTTGGAGACGGAGTACAAGATCAAGGCAGACAGCTTCAGTGTTGGTGAGGGCTCCCTCTGCTTACTCTGTCACCTTGTTGCCGTGGTTTGGTAGAAGGGGCCAGAGCTCACATGGGCCTCTTTCATAAGGGTGCTAATCCTGCTCCTGAGAGCACTCATTACTTAGTCACTTCCTAAAGACCCCGCCTCCTAATGCTCTTGCAGTGGGTATTCCATTCTAGCATTGGAATCTGGGAGGGATGCCAGCCTGAGGACTAGAGCACAACAAAAGAAGTCTACCTTTGGGGGCCTGGTCCTAGGATGGGCCCAGTTGCCCATTGCCTACTAGCCCATCACCAGGCTGGCAACGTCACTCACATGCACACCTGATGGCTAGGTTGGTGGCACCCCAGGCTCTGTGTTAGATGGAGACTTTTTTTTTTTTGTCGTGGAGCTTGAACTCTGGGCTTGGGCGCTGTCTGTGTCTCTTCAGATCAAGGTGAGTGTTCTACTGCTTGAGCCACAGCGCCACTTCCGGTTTTCTAGTGGTTTATTGGAGATAGGAGTCTCACGGAGTTTCCTGCGCAGGCTGGCTTTGAACCGCGACCCTCAGATCTCAGTCTCCTGAGTAGCTAGGATTACAGGCATGAACCACCAGTGCCCAGCTTTAGATGGAGACTTGATCCTTCGGAGGTGGCAGCATCCTGGTGATGTGCCACATGGCTGTTGGGGCATGCGGCGTGGGTCTGCTTGAGGTCACTGTTGCAATGTGTATTTTGAATATTTTCAGCTGTATGCGTGCTGAGGGGACTTGGCCCGTGTGCTGCGTGTGCAGCTCATACTTGGTGGGCTGTGTAATGTGCAGAGGCGTTGCCAAGGGCAGCGGAAATGTGGAATTCTTCCAGCATAATCACATGAATTCTGCCACCACCCTCCCCTGGCCCTGCGTCCGTCTTACGCTGTGGCTGAGGCAGCTTCCACCCTGGGAGGAGCTGGGATTTGCAGAGGATGGGAGGATGACAAGGGCTAGGTGCTTTGTTCTGGATTGTGGAGGGCCGCAGTATTAGGGGGAGGAAACCCTTCAGGGCTAAGTGCTCCAGACTGAGGCTGGCTCTGCGTGGGGACCTCTCCCCCCACCCCCAGAATACTGTGGGATATTTACTGAGAGAAGAGATCAGGGAGGGTGCAGAGTAGGAGGGTCCAGCTGAGATGTGCAGGCAAATGCTCAACCCTGGCCAGCCACCTCTCTCTGCTGTGGCCTCCTCTCAGTGAAGCTGGGAGTCAGGCCTGCTCTCCTTCCTGTACTTGGGCTAAGACCCAAGACTGCCAGTCTTTGAAATTTACTTTTATTACAGTGGCCAGGTAACAATTTTTTTTGTGGGGGGAGAGGCCTGAACTCTAGGCCTGGGCGCTGTCCCTCAGCTCTTCAGCTCAAGGCTAGTGCTCTACCACTGAGTCACCTTCCCAGCTCCAGGTAACATTTTTTTTCTCTCCCAATTCTGGAGATGAGGGATCAAGGTGACAGAGTCACTTCTTTGGTTTGTGGATGGCCACTGTGTCCTAATCTCGTAAGTTGAGTTGGATTAGGACCTGCCCTCAGCAGCTCATTTGGGGTACCTGTGTACTCTAACATACAGGGCACAGCATATGAATAGAGGATATGTCCATAATTCAGCCCTTAACGCTGCACCTGCCAAGATCAGAGAGGTGCCTCCACACATGCTCGTGCACAGGGAAAACATCCGTCTGCCCAGGGAAGCTCATTCAGTGTACAGCTTAGTCCTGGGGAGAGACCAGGGCTCTCAGGCATGCCTACAGTGGCTCCCCCATTGCTTAGTTAAGGGGCACTCAGTTGCCACGGTGACCTCCATCTGCACAGTCAGATACACATGGCCCGGCCACTTCTCTGCATTGGAGGACTCTCCCACCCCTTAGAGTTCACACTGAGTGTTGAGTCCCTTGGTGACAAAAACATGGAAACGGTTGCCATGGCAGCCATTCTTTGGAGCCCTCAGACTGGAGTGCAAAGTTCATGATGCCCAGGAACAGCTGAAATGAAAATGTGGGGAAAATCTACTTCTCGCCCCCCCAGGAGGATCCTTCCACACAGCCAGCTGTCCCGCCTCGCCCACCTCTCCCATCACCTTGGGCCAGTGTAGGAGCAGAGAGGTCCTGGGAGTGGAGCTGTTAAAGAGTGGTCCCCAGAGGCCTTGGCTGGAGTTGCCAAGGATTCTGATGTCCACTGGGCCTTCCCTGAGGATGTGCCTTAGTGACAGGCTGCTGGAGCCACAGAGCCGGTTTCTTGTAAGCTGTTGTCTTTCTTCAGGGTGACTCCAGTGGCCAAGGTTGTTCCAGCCTGGAACAAGGCTGGGCTCATGGGAAAGATGACAGGGATGAGGGAGATGGCTAGCTCCTTCAGGTGGAACTGAGGCTTTCTCTAGACTGCTGCTGGACTGGGGAGAAATCATGTGTCCCTTCCTCCCCAGCCCCCCAAAGAGTGGAATCTGGGATTCATCAACTGAAGGGTTCTACAGTTAGGGTCTAGAAATCAACACACAGGCACACCATTCCTGGTTTAAGGTCTTGCACCAAGGAAACCTTTTATCCTGGTGTTGCGCGAACTTGTTTGAGCCAAGCCCACTCATTTTTGAACTATCTCTTACTGTCCTATGGGAGTAACATTGTTACCATACATTTGGACATTAACTGAGGCTGAAAGAGTAAAAAATGGGGATTCTAAGCTTACCCAGTTCTATTGAGTCAGACTCTCTGGGGGCATCCCCAGCATGTGTTTTCAGAAGCCCCCTGGGGTTCTGGATGCACACGGCAGCTGGAGGACCCTTGCACCAAGGGAAAGGCTGGCAGGAACTGGGGAAAGAGGCTCAGGGAAGGAAGCAGCCTTGCAGAGATATGAGTTGGTGGGCAAGACTTAGACCTCTAGGAAAGGCACTCTGGCTACCAGGCAGGCAACTTACCTTTGCAGCAGGGCACTAAAGCCAGGTGAGACTGGCCTGTATCAGTGGGGTATCATGAGGCTTGGGCTGAAATGATTGGGACCTTTGGAGGTATGGCCACATGAAGTCTCCTCCAGCTTGTGAAGTGCCCGGCACTCCTGTTGCTGAGGCCACCTGCCCTGGGCAGATGGACCTTGCCTCAAGTGGTCTGGGTTTAGTTCCCTGTAGGTTTTTCCCCAAGAGGGGAGCAGACTTGTCCGCAAAGGCACCAGGCCAGGTTTCCTGAAAGTGAGGCCGTGGCACAGGGATCAGCAGGTGGTATCTGCTTTGGTGTTGCTTATCCATGGCCCGCTGGTACCCTCTGCAGTCACTTCCCAGCTCTTGGTGTTTCATTTGACCTAGGTTCTTAGGAACAGGTGGGCCCACCTGGTCCTTGGCTGCACTCGGGAGCCGGTGGCCCACACACCTGCCTGTGTTTCTTTACAGCTGTCCAGATCCATATCCTGAAGGCGGACAAGGCAGGGGACTGGTGGAAGTTCACGGTGAACATCATCTCTGTGTACAAGCAGGGCACAAGCCGCATCCGCCGTGGAGACCAGAGTCTGTGGATACGCTCCCGAGACATTGCTTGCAAATGCCCTAAGATCAAGCCCCTCAAGAAGTACCTGCTGCTGGGCAATGCCGAGGACTCACCCGACCAGAGTGGCATCGTGGCGGACAAGAGCAGCCTGGTGATCCAGTGGCGGGACACGTGGGCACGGCGGCTGCGCAAGTTCCAGCAGCGCGAGAAGAAGGGCAAGTGCAAGAAGGCCTAGTGCGGAGGCTGCAGCGCCGGGCACCAGGGCCAGGCCCCAAGCATGGGGTTCTTGGACTTGGCCTGCTAGGGCTTTCCCAGGTGGGGACAGAGGGCGGGGTGCAGCTGGCCAGGGGGCGGGGTCCCTCATAGGCCCTGCCCCTGCCCCACCCTGTGTGCCCCTGGTGGGAGACGCATTCACCCAGGGCAGGGCGCCCGCAGACATGAGGATGAGACGTACCTACCTCACGGCGCTCCTTCCAGAGCACAAATGCGCTTCCCTAAGGCTAGGTGGGGTCGCCGTGGAGGGGCTGGGGGCTGTTCATGCAAGCCATTGATGGTTTTGGAGAAAGGATATGAGAACTGTGAATTTTCAGGTCTGCAGCCTGGGCAGGGGCACTGACCAAGCCCAACCAAACCACCCACACCCCAGACACAAAAGACAAACTCCTTTCTCCCTGACCCTTCTATCTAGGAATTCCCACTGGACACCCACTGACAACCGGGGTCCTAGCTGAAGGGGCTGGATGGTATTGTGGGAAGCGGCCCTCCAGCTAGCATTTGTCATGTGGACCCTGGTCTCCATGACCACCTGCTGGGCCGGTCCTTCTGGGTGGGTGAGGTGGGGCTTCACCATCTGGAGGAGAGGAGGCCCCCACCCGGCCCTGTACCAGTTGGGGCTGGCCCACCTGGAGGGCAGTGGGCTCCAGGACACCCCTGAGAAACCCGCCGGGTGGTCACTGCCTCCTGCTGGAGCTGCCATGGGGAGGAGGAGGCGTTGCAAAGGCAAAACCTCCCAGAGCGTTTCCTTTGTGGAAACTTGGAACCAGCCCCTTTTATGACATTTTCCAGGGGAGGGGGCGGAGGCACTGGCTGGGTTTAGGGCAGTGACACTATTTGTGTAATGACATCAGCTCCCACAAGGCCCCTCAGAAGCGTCAACAGCTGGAACGGGCCTGAATGGGCATGGAATGCTGGCCGCAAAGGCAGGCGGTTAGTCTGGGCTTGGGGGAAGGGGCTTGCTGGCTCAGAGAAGTCCAGGGAGGGAAGGAGTGCGCTCACAGCAGGCGGGGCCGAGGAAGCCATGACCACTGCCCATTGCTGTCCCCACTGGTGACGCCAGGGAAGGGACATGCATGGGAAGGCTGCTGCAGCCACTCAGGCCTGGGTCTAGCTCAACAGCACACACTGCCCACTACTTTTGGGTTATCTTTTGTTGTGCCAGTCTCCCAGAGACTCCCACAGGCAAAAAAAAAAAAAAAACCCAGGCCACCTCGTCTGGTGGCGGCACAGGATCTGTCCTGACTCCCCACCTCCTTGAGCTCTGCACTGCCTTTGCAGCCTCTGGCTTCCCAGCAGGAAGTTGGTTTTGTTTTCCCCACCCACAGGGGCATAGGCATTCCAAGGAGGAAGCCTGGGCCTTGGGAATTGGCTTCCTTCTCTTTCCCTCACTTCTGCTTATGTCACCACTGCCATTCACTGAGCACCTGCTCTGTGCTAGGCACTTTACCTACGCGCTCCCAGCCTGTCCTCATGACAGGGCTTAACTGATCTTTGCCAGCAAGGAAATGAACGTGTTGTGCAAAGTCCCGTCAAGACATGTGGCAGAACTGGGACTCAGACCCTGGAGCGGGTTTTTCTGACCACTCTGGCTCTGCAGCCCACCCCGACACTTCCTGCAGCAGGCTGTAGGGGAGGGGTGCCATTGCAATGGCCACTGAGACACTGGCAAGGCTATTGCCTCTTCAGGACCTTGCTCTGAGCCTGGTGGGGTTGGGGGTGACACCTAGAGGAGGCAGTGAGGGTGGTGGGTAAGGCAGGGAAAAGAGACTTACCACAAAGCAGCCAGGAGGGCAGGGCTCAGCTCCTCTGAAGAGTCCTAGAAAGGTGGTTTGGCGGGCCCAAGTGTGGGGAGGAAGGGTGGAGGGCTTCTGGCAGAAACTCCTTAGAGGCAACTGCCCTGGCAAGAGACCCAGCCTTGGTCCAAGCCCAAGGCTGAAGAGTAAGGGCTGCTCTCCAGGCTCAGATACTCCAGACTCAGATACTCCATCAGCCATGTTTTGACTGTAGCAAAAGGCACCATAGGGCGAGGGTCCTGTTTTTGTCTGCATAGCTTCTAAGCTGCCCAGAAAAGCTATGCTGCTGACCCCCCCCACTCCCCACACACCTTGACTGCCCTCCCTCCAAGTCTCACCAGTGTTGCATGGGGCTTGCATTGGTGTTCTCAGAGATCTGTCAGAGAGCCATAGGCCTAGCAAGCATCAAGGTGTCCTGAGAATCACTTCAGCTTCCACCTCAGCCACCACTGGCCCTCAGGGCCAAGGCCATCCACTCAGCCCGGCCCTTGGAACCTATGTTGGGGCCTGAGAAGTTAGGTCAGGGATGGGGCCACTGACCAGACTACAGAGCTCACCACAGTGCCTCTTGTGGGCCCAGACTGAAACCAGCCCCCCAACCTCTGCTTCCACTCCTCCCCCACCTGACCCTCCTGAGGTGGGGACCAACTCTCTCCCACCTGCCCCCACGCCAGGGAGGAGAGGGAGATGCGAGTGGAAGGCCTCTGATTTGTACAGTTAGGAAGGGATATAAAACAGAAGTAGGATTTGCTTTTGAAGAGTATATTAACCAGAGTTGTGATATGTAGGTGTTTGAAGAAAACCATACCAGTTTAGTCTTTGTGTTTCATCCAGACGCTCCAGCTGTTCTTTTCCTTTCCAGCTGGGTGGTCTGGTGCCCCTGCCAGCTGAGTGCCTGCTTCACTGATGCACAGTCCTGCAAAGGTGGGATAAGGGAAGGGGGAGGAAATGGGGTGCCTCCTAGGTGTGCTTGTAGGCTGTGGCCTCTGTCCACAGCGTCCATCCTTAAGAGATAGACAGGAGGCAGCAACCTCAGACTGGAGGCGCACACTGCCTGAGGCCCTGGGTGACCTCCTGGAACTCTGCCTCAGGAGTCACACATGGGAACCGGAAACAGTCCACTCCTGGAGTTGCTCCAGATTGAAAAGAGATTGAGATCTAGAAGAGACCCCCCCCCCCCCCACCTCCATCCTAGAGCCGACAGACAAGGCTCGCTGATGAGCCATGGCTCATGGACAGACATTCCTGTGGGCCACCACCATGCCATACCCCCAGGGATATTAAAATTGTCTTTGTGGGGCCTTGCCCCTGCCAGAAACCAAGCCAGCGCCACCTTGTGTCATTGGCCATTCCCTTCCTCACTCCCAAATGCACTTCCCGCGTCCCAGACTCCCTGTGTTGCAGACTTCTGTTCACTCAGAAGTGTAAATGTTTAGTTGTGACCATGACATATTGTTTGGGTCAGTGTTCCTTTCCAATGCATACTAATATATTATGGTTATTATATATGAATATATTTAATGACATGGAAAAAGTTGTGGATTTTTTTTAAGATTTTTTTTTCTTTTTCTTTTTTGGTTAGAGTTGTAATGGACCCAGAAGGGACTTGTAATGTGGGCCCCACACACTAGAACTAAATTCAGATATCATTCAATAAACTCTTGTATACTGCTCTGTCTCCCATTCTTGGTGGCCTGAGCTATGGGTGGTGGGCATGGTGGGGAGGTAAGAGAAGGGTGGCAACTTCAGGAATATGGCTTCTTGCCCTACAACTCCCCAGCCAGACAGAACACTGTCCTTACTACCTACAGAAAGTAGGAAAAGAGCAGCCTTGCTCCTGGGGACTTGGCTGGTTCCAAATGCTGTTTCGAGCTAAAAGGTTGTCAAATAGGACAGTCTGTTTTTCAGTCCTGAAATCACACCCAGAAACTCTCACACAGGAGGAACTTGGGGGTCAGGGGAGTTTCCTCCCCTCCTCCCTATGTGTACCCAACAAAGCAACCTTTAACCTTCCCTTTACCTTCAGAACCTTTTTTCATCACCCGTTTCTTCTATTCAGAGCCAAGTAGAGATAAGAAAGTGCAGCAGGGTTAGTAAAACTCAGGGAATCTTAAGAAAGACATGCTTCTCAAGCCATAGCTCAACGCTTCATTTAGGGCAGGGATTGGGCCAGTGCCAGCCCCATGCAGCCATGAACTCACTGGATTGTAGAGGCCATACTTACACCTCCAAATGGCTGTGATTTCTTTATTAAATAAACAATCAGCCATTAGGAGCCTGTTGTGTTGCCGTGCAGAGGGGAAACCATCAGCATCAGGGATCATCATTTCACACTATGGGTTCCGAGGCTTGGCCATGGGCTTGGTCTGGTCCCTTGAACAATGCAGATTCCAGGCCCTCTTTTTTTGAAGATGCAGCAGGCTTCCTTTGCTGTGTGGCAGCCTGGATGGACATGCTCAGCTTCTCAGGATACTTCTCTGGTCCAGCCTCTTCACAAGTATGGCTTTGATGACCAGGAGCTACTCTCAGAGCTAGGGCTTTTAAACCAGGCCAGGTAGGTACATGAGTTGTCTGTCATGGTCCCAATCCATCTCAGGAACAATCTCTGCTGAACACCACCACCTGACAGCAGATGAGGCAGGTCTCAGAGGGCAAGGCTGGACAGGGAGCAAACAGAAACCGTCTGTAGCCTCAGGCATTGCCCTTTGCCAGAGTTCTTGGAGGGATTTCAGAACCATTGAAAATGACTGTTTCTTGGAAGTTTCTCAGCTTTGGTCATTTTAGGCCAAGGGTCCGGGAGGACTTTCATAATGATGTGGCTTTCTTTGGTCTCTCCATAAAGTTGTCTGAGCCTGAGCTGTGACACCGTCACAACCAGGCCTTCTGTTGGTAGCTGCAGCCCCTGCCCAAGGCCTGCAGAAGACACTGCTGGTCAGGTAAACATTAGAACAGGACTGTGAACAGCAAGCCACCTTCCAGAGCCTTCCACTCTGGCTGGGGTGACTAGGTGTTGATATCCATCCAACTCAGAGAATACAGGAAGAAGGGTGGGTTGCTGTGGAGCACTGACCCATTTTGGAGACTGAATGGTGAGGCAACAGAAAGCTGAAGGAGCCATTAGTCCACTCTAAAGCCTGGAGTCTGCAGGGATCCCCCTGCATCTCCCAGGGACACTGCCTGGCATGGGGATGCCCACTTGTGGCAGACATACTCCTCCGCCTTGAACGTCAGACATCTTTTTCCATGCTCTTTTTAAGACTAAATAAAGACATAGGAGAAATGCGCCAAGAAAAGTGGGGCGTGAAAAGAAGAAATACTGTACATGGACGGATTAACTCATGGCTTTATCAACTGGAGACTCAGCAGGACAGCAAGTCATTTCTGGAAGGAGGTCAATGCCTTTTGTTGTTGGCACACAGTGGGGAGGAAGCCTGTGAAATCTGTGGCACAGTTAGGGGAAAGAGGAGCTTGGGCTCACCCCAAGTTAAGTGGAATCACTTAACTTCAGCAGGACTAGGTTAGAAATAACTAGATAAGAGTTGGCTTTTATGCAAAAAGCTGCCTGAATAACTCTGAAGTGGAAGGTAGGAAATAAGGTGGGAAGGAGCAAAGGCACAGTTCCCACAAAGAGGGAAGAAGACACAGCTATAAGTCTTGAAGCCAAGGGGGCAATCAGCAATTCTACACCAGGCCCAAGGAAGGCAAGTTCCAAGGATCTGAGCTCAAGAAGCAAGCACAAAGCCAGCAAGCTGGCTGCAAGCAGCAGAGAAAAGACACATGCAGGATTTTAAGTATCAAAGCCACAAAGGCTGCTTCCAGGCTCAGGTTCTACCAGTCTTGAAAAGAGCAGGTGGTCCTAGGGCTAATGACAGTTATGTACATTACTATGAAGTCTAAATGGAACCAAAGTACTGGCTGTACCTGGATATCTGGATTTCTTTATATGGTATCCAGACTGAAAATGCTTATAATACTCAGTTAAGTTAAACAGTTCTTATGCTGTTATTTTAATAAGGTTTATTTTCATTGAGAAAGCACTTATGATGAGGGCTGCAGCCCTGCCTTGCTTGCTTTCTGTCCATCAGGGCTGACTTAACCAGCAATTTGCAGAGTGCTTGCTACAGCTTGCTGGGCCTGGGGGCCTGACATGATAGGGGGAACCAGGCTTTGCAAATCATGCTGGGAAATGCCATACAACTGTAAGGTGGTTTCAAGGTGTTGTATGGCAGTCTCCCAGGAGAGGGAATGAGAAACCCACCCTTGAAGATGACTAAAAGGCCAGGGCCAGGGCCTCCTGCCTGACAGGTCCCTAGCCTCAGTGACTGGCCTGTGTTGTCCTGAGCCTGGATGGATGGAGGTGTTTGTATTCCGATCTTGCAGGCAGCTTTTCTTCGCCACTCCCTGCCTGTGGGTCCAGAGAAGGGAAGTAACTTGTCCAGGGTTACACAGCTAACAACATAAGGCTGGGCCCTGAGCCCATTCTGCCCAAAGAACAGAAGCTGCTGTGCACAGACATGGGCTCAGTGTTTCCCTGAAAAGGCCTTTCAGTGAGCTTGATCCAGGCTCTGTGGCTCTGGTTCAAAGACGCCCCACGAGTTGCTGGGGCTCTGTGCTGAGCCAGTCAAGAGGAGGTGAGAAAGTCAAACAGACCATCAATGCTGCTTCCCCAGAGCCCCGGAGTGGGGGCGGGGGATCCAAGGAGACACTGTTTGTACAGATTTGGGGTTTCACACAAGACAAGAAGAGGTGGCTTTGTGGATTCTTGCTCTTCCCTTGGGTGATCCATTAGTAACCACTTCATCCTCAGAAACGTGTCCCAGTGCACGTTACCTCCAAATAGTCCCAGCCTGGCCAGCACAGCACACCTCTCCCCCTTCCCTTCCCCACCCCCCCTCCCCCCGACTCCTTCAAGCAGGCCCCGCTCTTCCTCTCCTGCCAGGCACACTTGGCTTCCTGACAGTACGGCTCATCTCTGTGGCTGTCATACTCCTCACCTGCTCACTCCATTCCGGACACAGCCCCTGTGAGTCTGTTAAGTCTGCTTTGGGGACTCAGCGTGTTCATGAAGTTTGTGGGCAACAAGGGAGCTTCTGGCTTGATCTGGCTCACTCCCATACCTTCACAAGTTGTCCTGTTGCACTTGGTAAAAGCAGGTGCTAGGACCTTGCTCTCAGGCCTGGAGGGGGGGGTCACTGAAGCAAGGGGTGCATTTGCAGGTGCGTCTCCCCAGTCCTCGTATCACACTCCAAGGTGGGTAGGGGATCTGTGCATCTGTTTCTAGACGAGGAGCACACACGGCAAGATAAGTTGCCTGTGGTCACACTGCTGGCAAGTACTGAAGTGGCCCTTGCTGTTCACTGTATTTCAGCTTCCAGAACTTTTCATTCCTCTGTGAAGCAGGACCAGGTAACTGGTTCTGATCAATGAATTGTGAGCAGGGGCCGTGGCTAGTTTCTGGGCTGAATGTTTTACTGCTGGCCTGTGAGCTTCCACAGTCCCCTTTTCTCTGCCAGTGTTCTCAGTGGACATCTACTGGCCTGGGTTCTGAAGTACAGAGATGGGGTCAGAGCCAAGCAGGTGTCTGGACTCACGGGTCCCAGGCCTTTCCAGAGCACCGAGGTCCTAGGAAATAACAGAAGGCCAGGCTACCCCTTGACTCTCTTCCTGGTGCATTTGCGTAGTGGGAGCCCAGGTTGTGTTCTGTTCAGGAAATGCCCAGGCCTCTTCTTCTGGCAGTTGCCTCCCACAGGCTAGTTCTCTCCTCAGTGAGACCAAGTGCTCTGGCGACTGCTGTCTTTAATCCTAATTGCTTCTCCTCCTGATGGGAAGGGCAGAACCACGCCAGCAGCTCGCCTTGCTTTCCATACAGAAAGAAGAGAGGGCATGATACCTGGCCCTGTGTGCCCTTCTAACTCAAACCCACCATCCTAATGGCCTGGTATCCTTCACACGCCCTCCATCAGCCTGGCCTGAGACACACACACGCACAAGACCACAGATACTGCAGACACACATGACTGTCAACCCCAGAAGATACAGTGTTCCCCTCACTTTATAACCCCACCTTCAGATACAGTGCTCCCCTCACTTTATAACCCCACCTTTATTAGACATGTCCAGGGGACCACCTTTCCCACATGGCCCTCATCTCATTCACCTGGATGTCCTGGACACACAAGTCACATGACTTTCACAAGCAGACCAGACACTGCTGAGAGGACATCCAGCAGACAGTGACCAGTTGAGGGGCATTTAGCTAGACCACATGACCAAGGTAGAAAGCAGAGGGCTGCACAGGACCAATGCTTAGGCAGCTCTCAGAGCTGCTCAGCTTTGTGGGCCCTCCTGAAGCAAGGCACGTCCAGAGTCCGGGAGCTTTGGAGGAATTTATTGAGAGCAGGTGTTGTGTACCAAAAGGGTGCGGGCTTTCTTTCGTCACTGGCAGGTGTCACAGCGGGTGGTCCCTTTATTGCTATCGGTTGGTTGGCCAGACTGCAACAACCACAATAGCCACAAGCAGCAATAAAATCACCATTATCATCCCTGAAAGAGAGAAACCAAACATACCTCTTAATGATTCAGACCAGAAAAGTGTTGTACAGTGTGTGGAGAATGGGCAGAGAGAGTGGTGGGCACAGGTGGCCCGCAGGCTGCAGGATGCAGCAGGTAGC